ATCCGCACTTTTTAGCATAGATGGGGACATTTAATGTGTCTCTCATTCAGCCCACGGGGCTGGACCTGAAAAATCTTAAAGTAATATTAAAGTCAAATTATTTTAAGCTATTTCAAATACTGATTAAATAATTTACAATGCATGCTCCTCCTTGATGTTTAAAAGTTTTATCTGCTTGCAGAATCAGCTGGTCCCCTGAGTACTGGACCTGATATGCTGTTTTAGGATGGCTCCTTTCCCTTGCAGGTTCCTATGTGTGCTATTAAACTGTGTGTCTCCACAAACACACATGCACAACAAATCCCCAGCTTCCCACTCCTCCCTCTTTTCTTTTCCCTTCTCCAAGCTTTTCCAAGCATGGGTGGTTGCTGAAGACTGTGTTCTGAACAACAGCAACTCAGCCACAAAGTGATAGGCCACGTAAAATGACAGAGCGGGGTCAGCGCATGATGAAGCACACAGTGCACAGAAGTCGCCAACTGTCTGCAGAGCATTACAATATAGAACACATAGAGCGCCTCCATTGTGTAAAATCGTTTTAATGAACAAAGATAAAAAACAGTTAGATTTGTACTCACAAAAGGAGCTGAAAGACAGGCATGAACAGATCACATAAAGCAGACTTAGCCTGCCGGCTGTCAGTCCTTCTTTGGTTTACAGGTTTCCGAGGTCACGCCTCCTTCATCAGAACCAATGAAAGTACGCCGCCACTGGACTATAGAGAAGTGGAGACGTGTTCTCTGGAGTGACGAATCACACTTCCCTGTCTGGCAATCCGATGGACGTGTCTGGGTTTGCCCTTTGCCAGGAGAACGGTACTTGCCTGACTGCATTGTGCCAAGTGTAAAGTTTGGTGGAGGGGGGATTATGGTGTGGGGTTGTTTTTCAGGGGTTGGTCTTGGTTCCTTTGTTCCAGTGAAGGAAACTCTTAAGGCATCAGCATACCAAGACATTTTGGACAATTTTATGCTCCCAACTTTGTGGGGACAGTTTGGGGATGGTCCCTTCCTGTTTCAACATGACTGCGCACCAGTGCACAAAGCAAGGTCCATAAAGACATGGATGAGCGAGTTTGGGGTGGAGGAACTTGACTGGCCGGCACCCGATAGAATACCTTTGGGATGAATTAGAGGGAGACTGCGAGCCAGGCCTTCTCATCCAACATCAGTACCTGACCTCACAAATGCGCTTCTGAAAGAATGGTCAAACATTCCCATAGACACACTACTAAACCTTGTGGACAGCCTTCCCTGAAGAGTTGAAGCTGTTATAGCTGCAAAGGGTGGGCCAACTCAATATTGAACCCTACGGACTAAGACCGGCATGCCATTAAAGTTCATGTGCGTGTAAAGGCAGGTGTCCAAATACTTTTGGTAATATAGTGTATATATATATATATTGTAATGTTGGGGAGGTTAGCACAAATGGCGAGCGCTTAAAGTGACATTAAACCCTCAGATTTTTTAACATAAACCAATACTGTAATGTGTGCCTTACTGTAATCCATGGTTGTTTCCCTTCTCTTTGCTGCTCTTCCTTTTAAATCCTCATGTCTTCTCATGCTTGGGAAGAACTTCCCTTTTCAGCTCAGGGCCTCTTCCTGTAGTGCTGGCTCATGTTTCAAGCCTATAGAAACGTATACACAGACACCGTGTATCCATTCCTGAGACAAGGCAGTCTGCTGCAAAAGAGAAGTTCTGCCCAGCATGAGAAGAGATACAGATTTAAAAGGAAGAGCAGCAAAGAGAAGGGAAACAACCATGGATTACAGTAAGGCACACATTACAGCATTGTTTTATGTTAAAAAATCTGAGGGTTTAATGTCACTTTAAGGACCATTTTTGAAGCCATTGTAACATAAAAAGGACAGTCTTTTATTTTCCACCATAACAGAACAGAGCTTTACTTCAGCAAAATAATATATCGCCTGGTTTGTTTCAGCCAGTAAGTAACATCACAACATCTCACCAACTCAGGATTGTCATCTATCCTGCAAGTGACTCTTCCACACATCCCTTGTGTGTCCCAGGCTCACTAAGCCTCGTTGGCTGATTCACAGGTTCCTCCAGCGAACACACACAGCCTCCTGGCTCCACTCTGGCTTCTGGGGGGAGTCAGCCTGACTCCTGGACACAACCTGTCCCTCTTCCCAGCAGGAGCCATCATGTGCCTGCACACCACACCAACTCCTCTTCCTCTCTGTCCAGTGTCTTAATAGGGCTGTTATCAGCCACCTCGACAGTCTGGCCTGGCAATTGGCTGCACCTGGCCCCAGGACTGGAGATTTCCTCCCACCCAGAGCTCTAAGAAATCTCCTGGCTCCAGGATCCTATCTTCCTGGAGCCACTCAGCCCCTCTGGCTGAAAATCCTTGGTGACTTTTAGGCCACCTAGCACCGTGGTATTGGGGCATTGTGTGGCAATACCACGCAATGCCACAATATATGTATATATATAATGTTTGATCTGTATTCAATATTGAAAAACAAGTTTGAGAGTTTAATACTAATTTACCATGTATGTCCAGCTGAAGCCACAAGAGGCCATAGTGGGATTGCTACAGCATTGCAAGAAATCCAAAAGGGGAGTAGATGGTGTAAAAGGAATGCTCTCACTTTCACTGTTGAGGACACAGGACCCTCTCTGGAGGGACTGGAGCCCAATTAGAATACTTAAGGCCGGGTACACACCTGGGCGTTTTACAGCGCTGATCGACTCGCTGTAAAACACTCAAACAGTGAAATCCCATACTTCCCTATGGGCATGGTTCCCACCTGGGCTTATTTCAGCCCGTGGAAACGCGCTGAAAAGCGCCCTACGCCCAAACAAGTACAGGAGCTTCTTTGGGGCGTATTTCAGCGCGTTTCCATTGGTATTCCCAAGTGTGGCTCGGGGTTAACAAAGCGGTAACCAGGAGCCACACTCAGGAATACAGTGTAGGAGTTACCTTGTCCGCGATCCCCGCTGTGTCCTCCGGCGGCTGCCGGGTTCCGTCCCTTGCGAGGGACCGCGTCGCAGGGGGCGGAGCCGACGGGAAGTTTGAAAGTGACAAAAAAATATTTATTTTTTTTAAATAGAGAAAATAAGGAAAAAATTTGTAAAAATCATATCGCCAGTGAAACGCGCATTTCACTGAACGAAAAAACGTGCTGAAAAACGAGCTGAAATAATACGCCCATGTGTGAACCCAGCCTAACTGTTTTAAGTAGGGTACATGGTTATATTTTTTTAGTTTAATCTGTAGATTGAACGAATAAATATAACAGATTCCTCCACCCATGCTGAACAGGGTGGATGGACAAACCTCCCACTGTGAGCTTTGTATTCTGACAGTTGGAGCCGCTGTCAGAATAACTAAACGGTGCTTGTAGCTGTGTCGCTGAAAGCACTGTTCGCTCAAGGAATTTCCAACATATTCCTTCAGCAAAAGTCGATCTAAGGACCTCTGTCGAGGCAATAGGGTCACCAACGGAGCGAATTTTGACCGATTGCTGCTGAATCAACCAAAATTGGCTCCCAGGGAACAATCAGTAGAATGAAATGGCAGAATGAGTTTAATCCATTTATAGAAACGATTTTTCCTTTTCTAATCTTAGGCTCTGCATGATTAAAGTCAAGTGATCTATTACAGCCTGCACACAGTCAGATACCACAAACAAATCATTCAGACTAAGGTGAATGATAGGCTAATCACCTTGAGAGTGACTCACACAGGTTCTACTGTGTAACAGAGACACAGATAAATCTGCTAATAGTAGAAGAAATATGGGAGCTTTAAGACATTCCTCATTTAGAGAAATGAAGCCAAGTTCAGCCCCCTCAGTGTCTGTGGGAAGTATCACAACAGGCAGCATATGCCGGGAAAGTCTGATAATGTAGCATAGAGTGCGCCCATCACAATCCTCTTCTTCATTCCTCATTCCTGCAGCATATCCCCTAAAAGGATAATTTACTGGAACACCTAACTGTTTGAACACTTATTGGGTGTCTGTATAAGTATAGCTGTGCCATTTTACATGCCAGCACTGCATTAACCCCTTCATGCTCAGGTGGCTTTCATGAACTTGTGACAAATTTAGTCAGAAGCCATTTTTATTGTCTCTTGAGTGTAAGGATATTTGGAAATATCATACCAAATGTTTCCAAATACATTTGATAACTATATATGTACAGTTTCAGGAAACATGTATTCTGAAAAAATGGCAGATCTCTATAATTTATTACAGATTTGCTTTAAAGATAAAAGTGTTTAATAAACAAAGGGGTGCTAAAGCATTTACACAATCATATTTAGCAATTAAATATTGCAGTGCTCATCAATAACCTGGGATTCCAATGTCTCCTTTAAAGGGCTAGTCCAGAAGAACCCTATGTGTGATATTTCTTTAGATGATGGAGTGTAACCACCTAGCAATCTGTTATTGCTCCCGGGGGACTCTGATGGTTATATTCCTGTGTTTGAGCCCCCAGGTTTGCGCAAGTTGAACAAGCATGCAAACAATGAAGTCAGAGGAAAGTCAGAACTCTCATAAATAGCCAACCTTGGATTGGTAATTACCACCTAGTAATTTGTTACTGTTCTTACCAGGGCTGTATAAAATGATTCTCTAATGTAACCCTATCTTCCCTGTGTAATTTGTGGGGAAAATACATCATCTGAGGCTTGACATTTGCATTTGCGGTGAAAAATTACCCAACTTAGGATAACTACCACCTAGCAATTTGTTACTGCTCTTGGGGAACACTGGTGGTGATATTCCTGTGTTCAAGCCCTTAGATCTACACAAGTTGATATGGAACAAGCACGCAAACAATGAAATCAGAGAAAAGTCAGAACATGGGAAAATTGTATGTGACCAGCCACTGGGCCCCAGCGCTTTTGGTTCCCATTGCAGTCGCGTGAGCTGCTGGGCCTGGGGTGCCAATAGTTAGGATGTTCATGTGTCACACAAGAAGTAAAGCTCAGTTCTCTTTCCTGTGAAGAATAGAATGCATTCTAACCTTTAGGTCGAGCTCTTTCACATGTGCATCCACAGCTGCACTGATACTGTGAATCTCTTTTTCCTGTGTCTGCAGTTCCTGTTTCGTTGTTGCTAGATCCCCAGATAACTTTGCTATACTGGCATCACACCTGAAGTGAAAACAAATGGCAGGTTTTATTGCAAAGTCAAATAAAATACACAGATTGAATAATTATAAAAACGGAAGATAAAAGCTACATTATATATATATACACATTTAATTCCAACATGATGACTGTAAGTGCTTTGACAAAAATTTAAACAAATACTTTGCTGGACAATATGTATTTGTTTGTTCTGGAATCAATATTGAAAAAATGTTTGAGAGTTTAATACGACTTTAATTCATACAAGGACTAGATGCGTTAGAATTAGTTGTTATAGGTTACTGCACTTAAAGAATTAGCACTGAGGAATCAGAAACAACATCACCTCCTCCCAACCCAATCATTTGCGTGGAAGCGCATTCCCCGCCCCGCAGCTACTGTATATGTCACAAAGGGGAGGAGAAATCCTCCGCCGCAACTACCAACATTTATTGGGTTGGGAAGAGGGGGTGGCAGTCAAAGTTTTAAGCGTGCTCAACTCAACTCAACACAGCAAACTGTGCTTGCACCAAGCACAGCCTCATCTCTGGTTATAACCATTCATTACTCCATCAAAAATAAAAATATGTTTTGGCTTTAGTTCTACTTTAGATCTGTAGATCAATGCCAGTTCAAATGTATTGAAGATGCTTGTAAGTAAGTCACAGCAGTTAGCAGGGCAGCCAGGTACTGAAGATTAATACAGCAGCTATCCCATGCACCCTTACTCTTCATGGTAAACTATGAATGGAATGTACATGTGAATAAACAGTCTTGATACTATAACGTATAGAAATTGAATTGAACCATTAGGGATAGGCACCACACCCCCAATTTGAAATGTATGCAAGAAAGATAAAGAAAAGCGGGGCTTTAAAAGTGTCCAGACCATACGAAATGTCCATCAAACATACATGGTTTTGTATAAAAATATACTTTATTACATAGAGACAACTTAAAAACTTGGCTACATTTAAAATGTCATTAAACTGATACAATGCTACATTAAAAAACAAGCTACCTCCTTTTGGTGCCCATACATGTGTACATATATTTATTTATATATCATAGACTACTTGCAAGTCCTAAATCCTGTAACAATTGTATGATCCACTGTGGGCCCAAGCTCCTTTTTTTTTAGTATGTGCTTCCTCAGGCAGGTTGGAGGTATTCTAAGACATTGCATCAAAAATAAGTTTAAGTATAATGATCACAAATATCAAATTCCTAATGAAAATAACAAATAATAACAATACAAAACCCAGTTCATGTTCACAAAGGTGGCTGGATCCTTGGTCCCACATGCTATCTCGCAATCACCAAGCAGGTGAAGATTGGGCCCACAGTGGATCATACAATTGTTACAGGATTTAGGACTTGCAAGTAGTCTATGATATATAAATAAATATATGTACACATGTATGGGCACCAAAAGGAGGTAGCTTGTTTTTTAATGTAGCATTGTATCATGTTAATGACATTTTAAATGTAGCCAAGTTTTTAAGTTGTCTCTGTAATAAAGTATATTTTTATACAAAACCATGTATGTTTGATGGACATTTCGTATGGTCTGGACACTTTTAAAGCCCCGCTTTTCTTTATCTTTCTTGTAGTCTTGATACTATGTCTTTTTTGAACTTTATACAGCTACACATGAAGTAAAAATATCTGCATTATTGTGTGTCAGTGAGAAAATTAAGCCCCGCATATTTTCATAGGTTTAATTGTGGAATCACAATAATGGGCATCTCCTTAGGTACTGGCAGCACTTGTTAACAAATGTCCTTCCTGACACTAATAAATAGCAGTTGGCCTGGTTATTAAATTCTCTCTTTATCAAATTAGGACAATTCAGTGTGTCAGCAATTTCTCTGTCTTCCTCATCATTTAGCATTCCACGAAATAAAAGATCAGCATTTTATTCTCATTAGATATTCAACCGGCTTTCAAAATGTTTCAAATGTTATATTGATTTTATATTTAAAGTGAAACTATGTTTATAAAAACATCCAAAGCCTACTACATCTATTGCATAGATTTTAAAAGACTTTACTACAGATTTGTACTTGATTCTGTTCTAGAACAGTGGTTCTCAACCTGTGTAACCTCAGGACCCACATTTGTCCTTGTTCATTACCTCATGACCCAAGTTGCACTGCACTAGAACACATGGCCTTGTGGTACCATGCGTTCCAGTGCAGCCGATCAAATTGTGGGCGGGAGGTGCATTTGGGGTGTTATTCAAACGAATGGCAATGCAACACACCTACCACATCAGAACCGGACTGTGTGATTAATGCACTTTAATAGTGTGAATGGGCACTCCAAAACACTGACAGACACACACACACAGCCACAGAGACACAACCAAAGACACATTCTCACACACACATACACACTCCCAAAATGTTTTTTTTTTTTAATGTTTAAGATCTACCAGTCTTCCCTATCTTATGAGAGCTGAAGTGGACCCATAGCCTGTGGTCCAGTGTGGGGTGCTGTGCTGTGATTGAGTTCCATCTATATGTGCATTGCTGGTACAGCTCCCACGCGTGTCCTGTAGAGATATCGGGAGCCAGAATGTGATGTCACTCCGGTCCAGGCACCTTTACAGGAAATGCGAGGGAGCTGTAAGCAATGCCTGTATGGATGGAGCACCCTCGCTGCCATAACCTCAGCCTGTAGGCAGTTGTCATTGCCAGGGCAGCATAGCGGGCTGCAAGATGAAGTGGGTTAGTAATTGTATATACTCACTTTCTAGCCGAATTGCTATGTTTATGTGGAAACATGTTTGTAAATAGTTGGCCTCATAGTTGTCTCCAGCACCATTTTGGAGAAGCCTGGTGTCCTGATAGGACACGAAATCTCGGGAGACTTGGTCGGCCATTTTGGGGGTGGTTTGATAGATAAGGAAAGCCCAGCCACGTTTTGGGTAGAACACGTGTGGACGTAGATAGGGACAGAGACCAGCCTGTGAGGGAAAGTTAGGAGATTCAGGGAGAGTGTTCCGGCCTGTTAGGGATGGATCAGGGTTCCTCCGGAGTCCTGCATCAGGAATCCAAGTCGGGTGAAAGACTCTCATTTGCCTGTGGCCGAATCAGTATCACCGCTGTGAGTGCGGGAAAAGTGCATCAGACTAATTTATCCCTCCGCTGAACGAATATCGCTGTTGCCATGTAACGTGTTGTAATTATCAGCCTCTACAGATAAGCATTGTGTGCTCGGGGTTATACTTGTGCCAGTAATTGGGAAGTGTCTACAGGGCCCCTCATCCAACCACCGTGTATAACGAATGTGACTGTATGCTATATCCGTGATCTATGTGCCTGAAGGAAAACCAATTGCCCTACTGTTGTACATATCCTTCTCTGCTTTCGCCTCTCCGGCAATAAACACTACCTTGTTTTTAACACCACTACGTGTGATTCCCTCTGTGAAGCCGCCACACTCTAACCCCGCTAACAAGCCCACCCCACCTCAAGCTGATACTCGGAGCTAGGCAGCATATTTTGAATGGCTGCTTGGCATGAGAACTGACAGTGCTGTCCTAGGGGGAGGCTGAAGAGCCTCTCACCTAGAAAAGTGGAAAGCGTGCCGTGACCCACTGGGCAAGGGGTCACAACCCATTTTTGGCTCAAGGCCCACCAGTTGGGAACCAAGGTTCTAGAGATCCTACAGATACTTTTTTCCTAGGGACTGCTAATTTTATTTTCAAACTGTAAGTTCTCACAGGCAGGGCCTTCCTAACCATCTTGTCTTGAATTGCATTGTAACTGTAAAGTCTTCTTTTGTATTGTAATGCTGTGCAAACTGCTGGTGTTATATAAATGCTGTATAATAATATTATTACTATTAATCATGTCAGTGCCTGTCAATCAGTATAACAAACCGCCAACAAGCCCATTGTCTTACTGGTGGCTAAACTGTCTAGCAAAAGGAAAGGATGTCTTTGTTAAGACTCTTGGAAATTCCATTAGCAGAGACATTGTAATGCAGGAATAAGATTTGATCTATACTATACATATACATGAAAAATACAGACTTGATGTGCCAATTTTGATTCTAAACATGTTTTGCCCTAAGGGTTACACTTTAAATTAGTAGTTCAGAAAGGCTAAATGCATTTATTAGAAATAAACCTCATTCTAGGAAATTAGATCCAAATGGTAGCCTCTGGTGCATGTGGATTTATATAAGACTGTAATATGGCTATTTGGGGAATAAGGTAGTTCCTACACATGTGCATTACCTGCTAGTTATTTTAAGTCTCCATTTACACCTTTTCTGAGCGTTTTTGGGTGGAATTTTTAATAGACGTGTGTTTTTGCACGTGTTTGCGGCTACATTACAGTCTGTTGGGGCCAGAGCGTGCTGTAATCTGCCAAAAACTTCACGAATTTGCTTTTTTCTGTGTTGCACGGTTTTGCCTACGTGTACGAGTGCACAAACCACATAGGAATGCATTGCTTTTTATGTTTTGCGTGTTTACCCGCCATCTGTGTGCGCATAAAAATGCGAACAGGGACTTAGCTATTTATTTGGCTATAATATTAATATAATAGTGCGGGGGCTGCTAAAATGAAAGAGTATTTAGTATTACAAATTCTGCATCCCACCTTCCCCTGTCCTGCTAAAAGTCTAAATGGCACTAGCTGGTATACAGGCTGACGTTGGACCTGGCTGACTGCTGTTGCAGGCCTAAAAAGCTCCAGCAACATTTATGCAACTATAGGCGATGTATTTTCCCATTGTTATAATGTAAACCTACATGGCAAAAATTTGCAAAACTAACCATACACTGTGATATTTTCCTCATTCAACCTGCAGGCTGTATGAAGAAAATAAAACAGATCCACGCTTACAAGCGTGGATGGTAGGAATCCCCTGCTGTTTTCAATGTATTCTGACAGCGGCTGGTGGCCACTGTCAGAATACCCATATGGTCCTTGCAACTGATTAGCTGCAAGCTCCATTCAGTCAAAGATTTTCCAACTGGCTCCTTCGATCTTCTGTCAAGGGATGCC